TGTCGACAGAAATTTGTCGAATCTCGGAATGGGGTCACAGACCAAAAAAAAAAAAGGTCGGGAACCAGTGGTTTAGTGACATAAAAACAAACGTGATCTTTCACGGCAGTCACGACAGAGTCTTTACCTTCGCTCATTTTCTGCACATCAGATATAAGTACACAAGTATCTTGAGTTTTTAAAAAAAACAAATACTTCAACTTTCAGACAGTGGTGCAGTAGTATGAATGTGAAGGGCTGGTCGTTTTCATCATAATAGGGAGCAACAACTATGGACACTCTGAATGTAATTTGGGCCATGGGTCCCCAACCCCTGGTCCAGGGGCCGTCGTTGGTCCGTACGTCATTTGGTACCGGTCCACAGTGGGACACAGTGGAAAAATGTACTTCAGTTTTACCTAATTTACTTCATTCCAAAAGAATCCAGTCATATCCCTTTACTGTTCTCATTCAAAGATAATCTGTCAATGTTTCAAAACAACAGGTCAAAGGTCAGTCAGACTCTGAAACTAGAAGAAAGTCTGGACGACCTTTTATTTTGAAAATGTAACGATCCTTCAAAGATGGCGTGGTGATACCGGCCGACCTTGATACCAAAAAGGTTAGGGACCACTGCTGGTTCAGGGACCAGGTTTCCCACATGTACTGCTATGAACTCAAAGAGTACACAGTTGTTGGTCGTCACAGAATCCCAGAGTATACGTTCACTACTGCATGGGCGGAGAAATACTTCAAATACAGATATATAAAGGGCTTGGAAAATGTGATTAAAATGTCAGGCAGAGCGTGGGCCAATGAACACGAACCAGCACGACCACAACGAAGAGAAACAGGAAGTAATTGCACACACGGGTGTATTACAGTAGAGGTGGGCAAATACACAGACAAAATAAATTAGAAGGAAACAATAAATTACAACCAAAATGATCCGATAAACAATAACCACAGAACCAAGGAGCGGCTAAAACCAGGAAGTCTGACCCCGGTGGTGGGACGAAGAACTACAGGGACTGGCTCAGCGTTCAGGATCCGCAGGAAACGTTTTAACAACCACAACTACTTTCAGTGCACCTCACACCTATACTCTCAGCAGATCCCCGTCACCACCGCCGCCGCGGGCAGGACCTCCTCGCACTCCTCAGTCACACACGTGCCGTAATGTGTATGTGTGTGTATGTGTGTGTATGTGTGTGCGGAGAAATTGTTCAAACGAAAATTTTAGGCTGAAAAGTAAAAATGATCCGACTAAGAACCTCAGACGAGGTTTTCGTCATAAATAAATCACGGCTCTTACTCCAACCACGTAAAGGATTCCCAAGGTCGCCCAGTAGCCAATAACGTCCGTCCCTGAGACATCTTTCAGAAAATGAGACAAAACCAAAATGATGCTGCGATAAACTTGACAAATTGTAAAAAAAAAAAAAAAAAGAAAAAGAAAAAGAAAGACCCGTGACGTGTCCCGGGGTCCAAACGTCGTCGGCCTGTGTTCCAACATCATTTTCAACAGTGTTTTTGAACAATCTTAACAATCACTACTTTATCGTTAGCTTTAGTCGTTTCAGAAACTGTCAAAGTCGCCGGTGCTGAAGAAAAAAACAAACAAAAATTGTCCGAGTCTGAGACGATGTGGGATCACCACACGACAGAATGCCACGTGATCGTGTTCGTACAACCCTGTGATGGTCACCTGAGAAGATGTTCTGTTTCACAGATTGGTTATTGGAATTAGTCGCTGTTCAGAACACACACACACACACACACAAACACACAATCGCGCACACACACACATTTCAGCCGAAATCGCACAACGACACATGAAGTTCGTAAAGCTCCGTATTCCAGACTGGACGGCTGCTGGTATGAAGGACCGACGTCTGAAATGTCGTGGCGTTTCCAAAAAAAAAAAAAAAAAAAAATCGCAACTGAAACCTTCATACAGAACAGAGGCTCGCAGAATAACAGTCCGGACTCTTTGACAGATGTAGGTCTAGTGCAAAAACAGTGGATCCACAGCTCCACTTCAAGGGCATGGAGGTCCGAAAACAATCACATCGAAAGGACAGGTCGAAATCTCTGAGAAATGCCGTGTTGGAGAATACATGTGTCAACAGGTGGGGCCAAAATTACAAAAAAAATGAAAAGAAAATCAAAAAGAAATCGCAGGGAAAAAAGGACCAAAAAGTAATACTTTACAGAAAAACAAAAAAAAAAAAGTTTCTGATCATGACTTTAACATAGAAACTTCAGACTGCACACCACGGCTGTCATCCTCATACGTCTGCACCAGGCCGTTAGCTGTCGCGTTGATGTTTGATGTTTATTTTGCGCGGGGCCGGATTGGACGGTTCAGTGAGCCGGAATTGGCCCGCGAGCCACCTGTTGATGGTCGCTGTTGTAATTGTTGAGTATTTCCTCTTTGAATATGAAAAGATGACGGCCTGTTTCGAATGTTTTTCTATTTTAGTTTTTAACACAATTAGCCGTGAAGGAAATACAAAAATATAAATCCTGTTTAGTATGATATGATTGAACAGTTACAATTACTATTACAGTTTCAATAAGTCTGGAGGTAGTTGGATGATAAATTGACCAGTTCCTCTAAAAAAAAATCCACTATTATTTCTATAAGTATTTCTATTTTGGATCTCAACAGAAACACAATCCAATTTCCAGAACACTGAGACCAAAACTAACAACGATCGTCCGACTGTTTCTGTGCTAGCCTGTTGTGCTAATGCAGTTCATCACAGTTCATTATTCTTACGACTGCCGTGGTCAGGATAAAAAGAAAAAGGAACACATTTTGTTTAAATTTGATTCTCTGTGAGCCAATGGTTCCCAAAATAAGGGGCGGGCTCTCAATACGGTGCACGGAAACGGAGCTATGGTAGGAAAATCATTCTAGTTTTAATCTTTTTGAGGAAGTTTCACTGATGTGAAATACTACTTCCCCTCCCTTTATTTGTATGACTTGAAAGAGTTTAATTCAAGTTCCTTTTTTATCAAAGGAACTTTAATTAAAACTCTTTCATTTGCAGCGTTAGTCGCTGCAGGAAATGTAAATATACACGACTACAAGGCAAACATTTTGCATAACCACATGGAAACTCCACCTGAGTTGAGTATCCAGGACTAGGTACTTTGTTTACGTGTACCCTTGTTTGTCATGTCTTACCGTTGCCGACGTTTACGACTTTGCTTTGCTGTCGTTCAATACGAGTCACGCAAATATTTGACTTGCAATAAGCGCTGATCTTTCGCACGTCAAGACGTATCTGGAGTTCAGCTGCTGGTGTGCAGACTTCTGTGAGGGATTGTGTTCAAACATACTGCCATATTATAGTAATAATAAGTAGTAGTAGTAGTAGTAGTAGTAGTAATAGTAGTAGTAAGTATTAAAAACAAAAAGACTGATGTTCCGTCGAGCTGCGGTGCAAATTGCTTTGTTCTCAGAAGTTGCCTCTTTGGAAAATTGGTGTCAACTTTACTGATCACCTGGGAATCTTTAAAAAAGAAAGAAAGAAAATCCAAACACCAGATCTTGAAGAACATCAATACTCAATACTCCTTCTGGCAGACGATACTACAGTATTTAAGGCATTCCCAGGCTCCGTCGAGGTCTTGATGGATTTCATGTTGAAGTGCAAATAATTTGACATGAAAAACGTACTGTACAAAACGACTACACCACACGTGTATGAAAATATGAACATTGTCCTGTAGAAGAATCTCAGAGCATCATGGCATCTTCTTGGAAAGAAAAAAAAAAAAGAAAAACACACAACCTTTTAGAAAAGTTGTTGTCTCCGTCCCGCGGCGACTTTTTTTTTGTCTCCTCCTTTTTTCTATCCCCCGCCCAGAAACAGACCCGTGTTCCATTTTTGACAGTGCCATCAGGAGTCTACGTCCACGCAGAGAGGCCACCGTGAGGCTCTCCTCACCTCCGTCCCGCTGCGCCTCCCCCAGCAAAGAACCCTCTGTTGAACAGAAGGCTGAGCAGAGTTGTGGTCAGGCGCCACCACAGCGGCCCGTGGTTCCTTTGGTTTCGATGATACTGAAACGACAAGGGAGATTCAACGTTTAAGGTTTACGGAGAGAGAGCAGCGTTAGAAACAGTGGTCAGCGTTGGTTTTCATCCACAGCTGGAGCTTCTGTCCGAGCGTCAGCTGAAGGGTCAGCTGAGACGAGGGCGAAGAAAAGAAAAAAAAAAACCCAGACACCGGGACCGTGCTGATATTTTCACAACAGTCTGCCTCTGTCACTAACAGGATCCATAAACAGACCGGGCTTCCTGGTTGGACAGACAGTCCAACACATTCATCATAAGAGTCACCACCAGACCCCTACCCCCCCCGGCCCCCTCACTCCAGGAGACTATCCCAGGGTTGTGTGCGATTAGACGGAGCGTTCCGTCTGAGCCATTGAGAAGCTGAGATAAGATAATCGCTCCAAATGGGATCAGGGAACTCCCGACGACAGACAAACAGTCCCTGGACAACACTGCAGGTACAGTGGTGCAGTGGAGTCAGGATTGTACTACAATGGGACTGGAGAGTACCATTTGGTTCCATATATATCCAGACCAGGTTGACCAACTCCCAATTCCCCACACCTTCCAAAAAAAATCCCCTAAAAAAAGTGTTTAATCATTCTCATCAAAATGCCAGTTTTTGATTTTAATTTTTACAAAAGAAAATATTATTAATATTATTTACATGTCTTTATTGTGTGGAAATCCCACACTCGACATCACTTTTTTTTTTTTTTTATCTCGCGGAGCCACTAGTGGTAGTTCGTACAAACCCCAGTGGTGCACACACCACACGTTGGGAATGCACTACACTTACAAACAAAGTTTGGTTTGGGGGCACATTGGCTGATGTAACCTGAGTCTCTCTCACTCTCTCACTCTCTCTCTCTCTCTGACTTTCAGCTACTTTACTGTTAACTGCGGTTCATGACATGACATGACACATTTACACGACTGCTGCCTCCCCTGGTTACCAGTGGAGTAACAGCCGCTGTGATAAGCCCGCGGGCTTCGACTCTCTTATCAACTTGTAGCGAGTGTTGCTGGGTGTTGCATAAGTTTTTTCCCCAGGTTCCAACCTGAGTGTGTACTTAATGCTGGTGTTCTGTAACTGGCTGTTATATATAAATATATCTAAATATATTTACAAACTTGACTGGTGAAAATTCCTGGTAGAAGAAATACTAAGAAGTATTTATGTTTCATTTGTTTATTTATTTATTTTTTTTAAAGCCTGCTTTCCTTTAAATGTTTGTTTTTTTTTAAAGCCTGCTTTCCTTTAAATACAGACCATGACAGTGCAGTATTCATATGCAGTATTTACGAGAGGGTGCAGTTATTTCTATTGTATATTGAGTGTCAACATACTTAACATTTAATAATGATTATGTTTCAACATTAGACAGTAGTAGCTGCGGGGCTAACACTGAGACATTTATCACATTACAGCCGTCGTCTGTTTACTACAAGCTACGTGACACGCAAATTAATCTCTATAAACAGAAACTGGACGTCACCCCCCTGAGGATGACCTCTTGCCCTAGCCTTTGACAAACTGAGCCAACATCGGAGAAAACACACAGAGAGAGAGAGCGAACAAACAAGAGGTGCGCGCGCACGTTAGCCAAGACTCAGACGACGGCCGTGAAACCAAAGGGACTTCGTGGTCTAAATTTAGCCGAGAGGCCGCAGCGACAGAGTCTGGCCAGATGCACGGTGTCATCAGTCTGACACCGTGCATGAACGCTGCTTTATCAGCGTCCCGTGTGGACCGTCTGTCAAAGCAGCTGCTCAGAAGCTCTGCCTTATCTCCTGAGCAAACAAGCTTCGCCTCGACAGCACGAAAATTCGGATTAGTCACCTCGGGGCGGAGACTCGGCAGTCGAAAGGAAAACACAAACAAAGAGCAGTAGTCGTCGATGACAGAGAGCAGCACACACACACACACACACAGACTGACGCTGTAGTCAATAAAAATCATCAGCTGACAGTCAACCAGTCAATATCCAAGGACGGACCGGTGTGTTTTTACCCCCCCCCTCCTTCAGCAAGTGAAAGGAGTGAGCGCTGTGCCCTGACTGGAACAGTGAAGTGATAAAGCCACAAACGCTGCGCATACGTGCACCCCCCCCCCCCCCCACAAACAACCCCACACACACGTCAGGATATTCAAGCCTCCTTTCAACACCTTCTGTCCAAATCACCAGGAGTCATCTCTCTCTCTCTCTCTCTCTCTCTTTTCTTACAAAAACATGGGGATGAAACCTAACTCCGCTCCTCGCTCGGCGCAGGCTAAAGCAGTCTTCCTTCCATTGTGACTGTCATTATTGCCACGTCTCAAATAGCGAGAGCGGCTAATGTCAGCGGTTCCTCTGGGGACCGCGGAGTCCCCTCCAGCCCTCTCTGACTGAGGAGCAATTTATCTGTCAGCATTCTCCAGCGCTCCTTCGCCACCTAATCCCTCCGTTCGCCTCGGGGGCCTCGGGCTCCCATGGAGAACACTCCCAGCCACACTGCTCCCAGATCCATCAAGACCGTGGCAGTCAAAGGCACTCGGATTGCTCAGGGACAAGTGTCTGCACTGACTAGCGCTGACTAGCGCTGACTAGCGCTGACTAGCGCCACTCGCCCGCAGACAGGGGCAGAGGGGAACGAGCGCTTTCGAAGAGGAGCCCGAATGTTCTGAGTGATGGACACAATGGGAGAGTTGTTGAGACGTTAAAAAAAAAAAAAAACAGTTTCGGTGAGTTAATGTCTTTAAACCAGAGCTGGACCACAAAACCATATCTTGATAAAGGTTGAAGAGTTCCGTTAGGCAACAGGATGTGAAATGTTCTCAGAAAAAAGAAACGCCTTCTTCCTCATAGAAGAGGTTTCACCTCTCATCCAATTGAAGAAGCCTCGAAACGTCTTCTTTGAGAAAATTTCACGTCCAGAACGAAACTCTTCCACCTTGACCATGACCTGAGAATCTTCTAAAATTGAGAATCTTCTCATATCTTGATTATTGTTCCCAATGAATCGCGATAAACGATATATATCGCAATATTTTTCCCTATGATAAAAAATACCAAATTTAATTTTAATCTTTGATTTTCAGCAAGTTCAAAACTAAAACTCAAATCTATCCACCAACCAACGATGGACCAATCTGCACCGAGGTCGTAGACACAGATTAACACAGCTGTTCAACACGTCCTCATTACCTACACACACACACACACACGCACACACAGAACAACACGGGAAGTCGGTGGTAGACATCCAGACTGAGTATTAGTCACTCAGTTATCACTTCGTGAAGCCCCTCAGGGTTTGGTATTAAAACACCAATCTCACTTTGACTGATGCACTCAACCGTTTACTGAACCAGCACAAAAAAAAAAAGAAGAAAAACACACACCTAGCACTTCCTCATCCCCTCACCCAGGGTTTGTTAGCATTGTGTATCAGTAAATCTGAACTCCAGTGTGCACACACACACCACAAACCTTCCGCAGTCTGACCGACCGGTTGCTTGTGTGTCACAACTCCTGAGTCACGCTAAGCTGCGCGGTTATAAATAACTCCTAATTTGATCAGTGCATGAGAAAAATCAAACTGTCTGACACTGGAGGGAAACGGGAAACGATGATAAACGCAGGGCAGGGACGGTCTGAAGACAAACACAGATAGTTGTTACTCGATCATTTGAGGTTCATTTTCCAAACCTCACTCCCTCCTATACATGCTTAGACCATCATTTAGGACAGCACCCCTCCCCTGCCCGTGGCTACATAGACCTCTTATTAGGGTGTCTCCTGTGGCTGCAGCGCGCTGAGAGACAGGACCGACTGGAGTCTCCCTAGAACCACAGCTGCTTCCCCCGGGGCTCGTGCTCAGAGCTTCAGGTTTCAACGTGTTTGCCTGCTCCTGGTGCTGCTGGCTTTGGCTGGACACATCAGCACGGGTACGTGTGTGTGTGTGTGTGTGTGTGTGTAAAAATGAACATGTATGTTTGGCTGCTGACCACTCGCACCGCCAGATGTTTGGAGGACATCCCTCGTAGGTTAGAGTGGATTTCTGACGCCTCCGTGAAAAAGAAAGAAAGAAACAGTGGGTCGTTGTTTGGAAGCACGCCCACCAGGAGGTGACATTATGAAGCATTTCCACTCAGTGGACAGTGTCACCCCCCCCCCCCCCCCGACCATGGGGCTGGTGTCTAGTTTGAAGCCATGTATCCTTTGCAGAACAATGAGGAAACAAGGAGAAAGAAAATTGAGAGAAGGAGAAGGAGAGGGAGGGAGACAGGGAGGAACGAGGGAGACAAAGACAGAGAGAGAGACAGAGAGAGAGACCAAAACAAGACAGACTGAGAGAGAAATAAACAGGAAGAGGAGGCAGGGGAGGGCCGGTGTGTGGGGGATGGGCCGTCCTGCTTCTGCAAAGTTTTTGGCTTTGGGTGAGAGTGCAGGGTGAGACGCTGGACTTGTGGGTAGCTGTGCATGAACAAATCCTCTCTTCAAAAAAAAAATATTTAAAGGAAACCCACCAAACAGAAGCGCAAAAGTCCGACCCAACGGCGTGCAAGTTCATGGTCGGTCAGACTGAGCTTTCCTTCTTCTCTGACTGTGACTTTTTTAACGACTCCAAATACACTCGTACTAATGAAAACACCGCTAAAAACTACAAACATTTAATGAAAATTCAAGTATCACTGAAAAAAGACAGAGATCCAGGATTGGATTGGATTTTTGGTTTGTACAAGTCATTTTTAGTTGAACATCGTCGTGTTGTTCAACTGATTGTTTTGGTTTGTTGACAAAAACCCTTACATTAGGGACGATCAACAACTTATTGAACGAGTTCTGCTTCATACATGGTTAGAACCAATGGATTATTATGACCACGTGTGACCACTGACACGGGTCGTAGAAACCCGTACATTAGCCTTGGCGTGAGTGCCCCCTATATGTGACGTCCTTCCATTGAACACTTTTCTCCACAACTACAACATCTAGTCTAGTTCATCGTCACAGATGAGCGTAGACACCATTGACGCCAAAGCGTTCGTTCAATATTTGTTCAACAAACGAGAATGCGACGTTCTGCCTCACCAGCTGCAGATGATCCCGGTGGAACTGGTCTCCTATTAGCTGGAGTTTCTGGCCAATGCGGACCTCCACGCTGCGCTGCACAGGCTGCTGCTGCTGCTGCCGCTGCTGCTGCTGCTGCTGCTGGGGCCGCGGCTCCATCCTATTTCGCTCCTCGTCACTTTGTCTTCTCCTTGTTTCCCGATCTCCAATTAGCTCAAAGTGAGCTGGGAAGTGCAATCGAAAGCCTGCGTTGCCTGTGAAAAAGCAAAATCATGTTTAGTTTTAGCCAAGAAATAAAAGAGTTGAGAGTAAAAATATCTTTGTTCTTTACAACAGCGGTCCCCAACCTTTTTTGTACCTAGGACCGGTCGGCCGATATCGGCCGTTACTGCGAACCAATAATACCGCGCCATCGTCTACGCATCATTAAACTTTCAAAATAAAACACCTTTTAAACTTTGATCTTTTTAGTATCAGAGTCTGAATGACCTGTTGTTTTGAAACATTGACATTTTATCTTTAAATTAAAAAAAAGTAAAGGGATATACACTGGATTCTTTTTGAATGAAGTCAATTAGTAAAACTGAAGTATATATTTTTTTCAATGTATCCCACTGTAGCCTGATAGCAAATGACTTACGGACCAGCACCGGTCCCCGGACCAGGGTTTGGGAACCCCTGCTTTACAATGACCAAACAGATTTTGCAGATGGACTTTAATCAAAACTCTAAAGTTATTTCACAATCTCTACTTTTTATTTCTACTTTCTACTCACACGACCTGTAGCATGACCCGACTGTGAGGTCTGCCTGTTGTTATGGAGCAACTTTGTCAACGGTGCTAAAGTGACTTTTCCCGCTCATGTGTTGCTGGTCTCTGTTCAGCTGCTGCTGACACAGGTACGCACTTCTGTCACGTCCCTCTCAGCCACAGTGCCAGTGTCTGGCGCCTTTTGAATAGCAAAGCAGCTGGACACACTACACGCAGACCATAAAAACCACTGCGATCACGACTATCGGGCGCCAGCGCTGAGATCAGCGCGGCGGGCGACACTGTTACCTGTTTCTCACGCCGTCATAATGTCATACTTTCATACACTCGGTTTTATAACACGCTTATCACGTACAACTCAAAGTTCACGTCTGGTTTCACATCAGATGTGTGACTTCCCTCACCGTAGAAGAGTGGTCTGGGCTCCTCTCCCACCCCACAGGGCAGCATGCCGTTGTTCAGTGCCAGGTCTGGACCAGGTGTCTGTGTGCCCCGGTCTTCACACCTTATCTCCCTGAATGTTGTGTGCCAGCTGTGCGGGTCTGGCTCAAAGACATCGTCCTCCTCGTCATCCATGCGAGGGCACTATGAGAGGAGCGAACCTGTGGAAGGTAGACACCAGACAGAGGAGGCATAAAACACCAGCTGAATACAAAGTTGTTGGGGTTTTTTTTTTCCTCCAACTCTTCATCACAGTAACCTTGAAGAAAATCCACATTAGACCTGATGAGATGATCTCAGACACATTTATTATTCCTCAGCCCCTCTGGAGCAACCGTTATCATCACTGCCAAACTGTCTAGATTATAATGAGTGCACTCAAATCAATGAACCCACAATGGGCACACTGGGAAGAGGACCACAGGCAAAAAGTCTTCTTATTCAGACAAATAACTCTGATAATCTCATTGATGACCAGCAGCTATACCAGTGATCATTTACC